ACCTGAAGGTCACCCCAGGCTATTGGACTACATGGTGCTTTTCTCCTGGGGTAATTAGGCAGGTAAACAGGCCCTCTTCAGAGTGGGTGTGCTAGAACACTCACTTGTGCATGTGTACTGGGTGGTGGCAGAGTGAGTTGGGAGAGAGCTGGTTAAATGCCTGCATCCACATGGCGCTCAGTGTTTGATGTTGAGCTAGGGAGTTCTGAGTGTGACAGTTCTGCAGTGTCCCTCGTTGGCCCTTTTGTCATGGTTACTTGGCAGAACACAAATGCCATGCTTATTGCATCTGTGGATGTAAAACAAAGCTGAGAGAGGGAAAAATGTTTGATGTTGGGCAGAATCCCAGAAGGTCTCAGCAGACTGGAGCAATGGCAGAACCCAAGGGAGAAATTTCACAGGAACCTGCATGATGTCTCCATGGCCTGGGAAACCATGTGTACCAGTTCAGGGAGGTGGGGAGTAGCATCCACTGGAGGGAGATGACGGCCTTGCCCTGTGCTCTTCAAACCATACCTGGGGCCTTTGGTTCTGAAAAAAACCAAAAGAGAAAGAGAAGAGTGGGGAGCAGGCCAGGTGCGGTGGCTCACGCCTATAATCCCAACACTTTCGAAGGCTGAGGCAGGCAGATCACCTGAGGTCAGGAGTTCAAGACCAGTCTGGCCATCATGGTGAAACCCTGTCTTTACTAAAAAATACAAAACTAAGCCCAGCATTGTGGCAGGTGCCTGTAGTCCCAGTTACTTGGGTGGCTGCGGCAGGAGAATTGCTTCCACCCAGGAGGCGGAGGTTGCAGTGAGCCAAGATCGCACCACTGCACTCCAGCCTGGGTGACACAGTGAAACTCCGTCTCAAAAAAAAAAAAAGAGTGGGGAGCAGACTTGAAACTATTTCAGGCAGAGAATGGTAGGGGAAAATGAGGCTATTCTAAGAAGGAAGGACTAGAAGTGTGTCTTGGGGAGAGGGAAAGACCCGGGGTGCAGGACCACAGTTCGCAGTGGGGTCAACCTGCCTTGTGGGACCCTGCAGGGCAAAGCTCCTAGCCAGGAGGCAGATTTTGACTCCTGCTGGGAACTCCCTTAAAAGCCACCCCAAGAATGAGCCCCATGAGCGCCATCAAGGCTTGCTTGCGGGCCCTCTAGGTCTGCCAAGGCTGCCTGGAACGGAATGGACCCTGTGTGTGTTCTTTTAGTCTTGGAAGAGCATCCAGGACTTTGGGGGCCGGAAGAGCGGCCTCAAGTGAGCTCAGAAGTCTGCACCTGAATTGGGCCTTTTTAAAAGTTATTTTTTAATGGGCAATAGATGCATGTGGCAGAAATGCAGAGGGCACAGATCTAAACCGGAAGCCTCATTTTCTAGCCCCAGCTTTCCTCTCCAGAGACAGCTAGTGGTAGCTAGTTTCTTGTGTGTCATTTGCTAGGATGTGTGCAGATATACACACAGGAACCACTTAATTTGTATGTTTCTGAGTTTTTTATTAGCTTAGTGCATACACAGTAGCGTACCTTGATTAATAATGGTGGTCATTTCATCTTTCCATATATAGAGCTGGCTAATTCCAGAAATAGCTACAGAGTATCCATTGTTGGATCTGTTGTGGTTTACTGAACCAGCCTCATTGGTGGAAGTTTAGGAGTTGTTACAGATAATGTTGTAGTAAAATGCATGTCTGTATGACATTTCACACAGTTGTGTGTCTGGGAAAGACACTTCTAGAAGTAGAGTTGCTGCGTCAAAGGGTGTGTCATTTTAAATTTTACATCTCTGTATTTTTTAATTTTAATTTTAATTTTGAGATGGAGTCTCACGCTGTCACCCAGGCTGGAGTGCAGTGGTGCAATCTTGGCTCACTGCAACCTCTGCCTCCCAGGTTCCAGCCATTCTCCTGCCTCAGCCTCCTGAGTAGCTGGGATTACAGGCACCTGCCACCACACCCAGCTAATTTTGGTATTTTTAGTAGAGACAGGGTTTCATCATGTTGGCCCAACTGGTCTCGAACTCCTGACCTCAGGTGATCCACCCACCTTTGCCTCACAAAGTGCTGGGATTACAGGCATGAGCCACTGTGCCTGTGTATTTTTAATTCGTGATTCCCTTACACGTTGGTGAAGGTGAACATCTTCTGCTCCTTTTCTATAACTGCCAGATCTGTTCACATCATTTGACAGTTTCTCTAGTGGTTATTGATCTTTTTCTTCTTATATTAGTAAAACTTTTTTCCTAAGTTTTTTTTCCCATCTTTATTTTTTAAAATTTGTTTCTTATTATGCTGAAATTTTATTTTATGCCTTTGGTTCTTGGGGCTACTTCTTTCATTGAAATCTTTTGCCTGGCTGGAATTTACTTGGTGTAAGGAACAGGGTGGTATCCAGCTTTTGTTTCTTGGTTTTTTTCCCTGGCCTGGCTGTGGATGGGGATTTTGACTTCATTCTTCTGGGAGTAGGCCAGGAGTGGAGAGTGTCTTTGGTGCTTAGAGGTCCTGCCTAGTGGTGTCTCCAGAGAGGAAGGCGGTAGAGACACCATCCTGGCTCTCCCTGCTCACCTGCGGGCAGTTCCTCCTGTTAGAAGGTTCCTGGCCCACTGGTCATTCACATCTGCCAGGTTGCCTCCTCACCAGTGAGGTCTGAGAGTTTGGCAGAGTCTGGGCAGAAGGGTCAGTCTGGGGTCAGGACGGGGAGGGCTCTGTACTGGCAGCCAGCTCACCCAGCCGTAGGGACATGAGTCACACCGTCTCTGAAGGTGATGCCACCAGGGACCTCATCCACCTCGTGCTTAGGGGCTCCAAGAGACTGAAAGCTGTGCAAGGACTGGGTCCTCGGTCCACACTACCGAGAGCCAATTCCAGCTCTCTCCAAAGCCATAGTGCTTTGTCTACAGTCACCTCTGGACCCACTGACCCAAACAAATGGCCACACCCATAGGGCTGAAAACCAGGCCTGCCCTGTGGGGACCAGTGGCACCTTAAGGAAGTTCTTTAGCTTCCTTAAAAACAGCATGTAGGCTGGGTGCAGTGGCTCATGCCTGCAGTCCCAGCACTGTAGGAGGCCGAGGCGGGCAGATCACTTGAGGCCAGGAGTTCAGAACAGCCTGGCCAACATGGTGAAATCTCATCTCTATAAAAATACAAAAATTAGCCAGGCATGGTTGTGCCCACCTGTCGTTCCAGCTACTCAGGAGGCTGAGGCATGAGAATCGCTTGAACCCAGGAGGCGGAGGTTACAGTGAGCTGAGATCATACCATTGCACTCCAGCCTGGGTGGTAGAGTGAGACCCTGTCTAAAAAATAAAAATAGACCGGGTGCAGTGGCTCATGCCTATAATCTTGACACTTTTGGAGGCTGAGGCAGGCAAATCACCTGAGGTCAGGAGTTCGAGATCAGCCTGGCCAACATAGTAAAAATCTGTCTCTACTAAAAATACAAAAATTAGCCAGGCATGGTGGCAGGTGCCTGTAATCTCAGCTACTTGGGAAGCTGAGGCAGAAGAATCACTTGAACCCAGGAGGCAGAGGTTGCAGCAAGGCAAGATCACACCATTGCACTCCAGCCTAGGTTACAGAGTGAGGCCCTGTCTCAAAAAAATAAAAATAAATAAAAAATTAAAAAAAAAACCAGCATGTACCAGCCTGGCCAACATAATAAACTCTTGCCCCCCCACCCCCCAAAAAAATTAGCAGGGTACGGTGGCACATGTCCTTAGGAGGCTAAGGTGGAAGGATTACCTGAGCCCAGGAGGTCAAGGCTGCAGTGAGCCATGACTGTGCCACTGCACTCCAGCCTGGGTGACAGAGTGAGACACTGTCTCAAAATAAACAAAATCTAACATGCCCAGTTTTCAAGGTAAATATGAAGGGCACCTAGAATCTTGTAGTTGGATAGCGTGGCCAGAACAGTGGTCTTCAAAGTGGGTTCCCTGCACCAGTAACATCACCTGGAAACTTGTTCAGAATGCAAATGCTGGTTCTACTGTCTCAGAAACTCTTGGTGGTGGAGCCCAGCAATGTGTTTTAACAATCCCATCAGGTGATTGTGATGTGCATTGCAGCGTGACACCCAGTGTGTCAGAAGAAACTGCTCATCCGAGACAAGCCGGTGTGATTGTTGAGGGAGCCTCAGGTTTCCTCACACACCCGCCTGTCATTTGCCATTGGGTGTCTCTGCAAACCGCAGCAGCTGCTATTTGCAAAAGCAGGCAGGTTGCACAATGTGGCTGTTGTCACAGCAGATTTGTGTCCCTCTTCACGGTTTAGGTGGCATGGGACATTACCAAGGGATCTGTGTTCAGAGAGACTCTGTGAGAGCAGGTGTCTCACCTGGCACCTGTCCAGGCCTCTCTTCTTTCTTTCCAGACAGATCTGCAAATCACTTACTTCTCTTAGCAGCGTCTGCTGCGGAAACAGGGTGGTGGTGCCTCATTTTCCCTGGTTCTCCACCTTGCATCAGATGAACCTCCTGAGGGCCCTTGCTTCTAAGAATGAAGCTTCTATACCTTACTAGCTTCCCTTGCCTGATGAACCAGAGGTTGGAAAATGAAGGAAGACAGGGGCCTCTGGCTTCCCCTGTTGCTGAAGGGATGGCAATAAGGACACAGGAAGATAAATAGACAGACCTGGAGCCCTGAGGATGAGGCAGTGTGCCTCTAGCTCTGAGGTTGGAGAGCAGGCCCAGAGACGCACTGCACCCTTGTCAGCAAAGGCAGGAGCAAAGCTTCAGTGAGAGGGGCTTTCAAGAAAACAGGCTCCTGGCAGTGAACTCTGTCACTGTGGGTGGGGCTGGGGGTGTGGCCCAGGCCCAGATGTCAGGCAGTATGCTGGTGGGTACTGTTCCTAGCTGGAGGCGCCAGCAGCAGACAGTGAACTGCTGGGACAAGCAGGGCGGATGCAGCAGCTTCTCCTGCTGGGCCCTGGTTGTGGTGGTGGCTGCTCCCTTGAGAAGATGGCTCCCACAGGCCTGCAGGGGCATCCAGGCAGAGCCTGAGTGTGCTTTCCTCTTCTCTTCCAGATCTCACCATGAGCTACCCCGGCTATCCCCCGCCCCCAGGCGGCTACCCGCCAGCTGCACCAGGTAAGAGGGTCTGGGTGGGGAGGAGAGTGAATGCTGCCTTTGTACAGTGGCCGGGAGTAGAGAAGGGAGAACAGCAGTTTCCTCAGTCCCTCCTCCCCTCCTCACTCCCTTCTCCCCTCACAGCCCAGCCCAGCAGGGGAGGGGAGGACAGGACAACGGAGTGGAGGGACAGCCAGTGGGGCAGGGGCTGGAGAAGAGCATGATGCTAGAGCCATGGGAGGCCTGGGTTTGAAACTGGCTCCAGAAAATCCTGGACCAGGCCCAGGGCTGGGCTCTTGCCTTAGTCACTGGTAACAGTGAGCAAATGCTGTCACTTTGAGACTCCGTTTTCTTCTCTGCAAAATTGCTTCAAGGATTTCTCCCTCATTAGGGGTTCTGCATACTGATGAGATAGGCAGGCAGAGCCTCTGATGCGGTGCCCTCCAAAGCATTGCTAGGTGATGGTTGCCCCTTGCCACCTCTCCTACTTTCTGCTCAAGGTGTGTGGGCTTGCAGCAATGAGATCCCCCTCGCCAAGAGAGGAAGTAGAGGCAGATGCTAAGGGTCAAAGGTCACTCCCTCCCTGTGGCTGCAGGAGCTGTGGGTGGTCACACGTAGAAGCCATCTTCTCTGGCTCTGGCCCCTTTTGGTTTTCCTCAAATGAGATTTGGTCCCCACAGTCGGAAAGGAAATATGAGGGTTCATGGGACCAAAGGGAGAAAAGGGCCATTCCAAGCCTGGTCATCCTGAGGGTGCCTGAGCCGCTGCCCCTCACCCCAGGGGACCCCCAGGCATTATTCATTTCCTTGGAGCTGAGGTTCTGTGGTCTGAGCATCCCTGGCCTGCAGGCCATTTACCTTCCCTCCCATTCAGCAGGTAAAGAGCAGGCCCAGACTGGGAGGTGGCCCAGCCACTGTCCCAGGGCATGTTAGGGGCTGAGCTAGGCCACTGCCCTCTGAACAAGCCCATCCCAGGTTGGCTGGCACTGACCTTGGTCCCCTCTCTCTAGTAAAAATCCTGCCCACTGGGTCCTGCCACTGACACCTTCGCTAGCACAGCTGAGCAGCCTCTGAGCAGCAAGAGAGGAGGAGACAGGAGATTTAGGGAAGGTTCTTCCTGGAGGGTCTGGAGCCCTAGGGCTGAAGAGCCGATCTGAAGCTCCCATGGACAGGAAAGCATCTAACAGGCCAGAGGCCACATGATGATGTCAGTCTCAGTGACCGCGTCATATATGAATGCCCCTCGGGCCCCCAGCTGAGCCCTACAGGCGTTACCTGAGTCCTCATCACCGCAGTCCAGCCATACACTCCTCATTAGCCCATTTGTCAGCTGAGGAAACAAGCCTCACAAGGGTGAGGGTGAAAGCCCTGCCCCAGGGCACATGCCGGTCCTGCTGGTTTCAGAGGGGCTTTCTGTCTCTGTTTCCTCCTGTCCTCTTGTGGACTGGTATATGTGTTATCATGACCCAGCGTCGTCTCCGTCCAGCCTCTTATCCTGCTTCTCCCTGCCGTTTACAGACATAGCAAACAGCCAAACCCCTCCCACCAGTGCCTTCATGTTACTAAAATCTCAGAGCTCCCTGTGGTCACCTCTGTCGTGGGCTCAGCGTGGTGTCTCCCACAACAGTCTGTCCTTGTGTGTCCTCCGGCTCCATGATGGTGAACTTGGGAGGGCAGAGCCTGCCTGGGCCCTCCCAACCTCCTTAAGACTCTACAGAGGGTCTTGGGAGTGTTTGGGGAACTCCACCTTCCTCCTTGGGAAGAGAGGAAGGTTTCCCCTCCTCTGCCAGTGGGATAAGGGGAGACTTTCCTCCTGGTGTTTTCATGTGGTCTGTGGTGTCCCAAGGCGTGAGGCTTTGCTAGACCTCCCTGACCACCTGGGAGCTCGCATCTCTGCCTTTCCCCTTGTGGTGGGGGACGGGCAGGGGGCTAAAGGGCTTGGTGTTGCTTTCAGGTGGTGGTGCCTGGGGAGGTGCTACCTACCCTCCACCCAGCGTGCCCCCTATCGGGCTGGATAACGTGGCCAACTATGCGGGGCAGTTCAACCCGGACTACCTCTCGGGAATGGTGAGTCCAGCCCTCCTGCTGAGGCGGCCCTGGGGCCAGAGGAATCAAAACTGCTGGCCTCCGGGGCTCTACGTGTATGTTGCTGTGGTATGCAGTGTGTTGAGCTGCTCCTTAGAACAGGGTTTTCATCAGACTTCTTCCGCTTGCTCTCTGCCCCTCACTGGGTCTCACTTTCCCCATCTGTAAAATGAGGGAAAGGGAAGTGCAATGGACCAGATGATCTCGCAGGTCCCTTTCAGCACTGCGGGGTTAGGACTGGGAGGGTGGTGAGGGCATGTGCATGAGTATGCATGCATGTGCTGGGTGTTAGTGTCCACATTGATGGGAGGGTGGTGAGGGTGTGTGCGTGAATGTGCACGCACGCGCTGGGTGTGAGTATCCACACTGATGGGAGGGTGGTGAGGGTGTGTGCGTGAGTGTGCACGCATGCGCTGGGTGTGAGTATCCACATTCATGTCCTTGCGTGTGCAGGTAGGTGTACATATGCAGGGTTCTTCTGGTTAGGCCTGGGTGGGTGTGTGGCAGGTATCTTGGGCAGACATGCTACTTTTTAAATGTATTGTTTTGCTTTTAAAGTAATACATTTTATGGTCTAAAGCAGATGCTTAGAGAAAATGATGTAACCAATACACACCTTAATTTGTGCCAGGCCCAGATCTAGGCCCTGGGAATATGTGAATAAAACAAACAAAAATCTCGGCCATGCTGCATTTATCTTCTATGGGGAAGAGGCAGGCAGTAACTCAAGTCAATGATGTGATGTTATTGAAAGTGTAGGTGCCATGGGAACAAGATGAGCAGGGTAAAGGGGTTAGCAGTGGGGGTGGGGGTGGGGGTGATGTAGGGATAATGATTTTAAGTTGGTGGTAGGGTGGGTCTTGCTGAAAAGAGGATGTTTGAGCAAAGAGCTGCAGCAGGGGAAAGAAGTACTGTATGGATGTCTGGGGAACGCCAGTGCCCTGAGGTGCCAGGGGGCCTGAGGTGCTTGAGGAGAGTGAGGAGAGGCCAGTGTGGCTAAAGTGGAAAGGCGAGGGTGTGAGATGAGAAATGAAGTCTGGGAGTCCCGCTCTTGCAGGGTGTAGGAGGCCATCCATCCTAAGGATTTAGGCTTTTATTCCTGGCGAGTACCAATTCACCTGAGTACGCCTGCCAGAGGTGTCTGTAGGTAGCAGGCTGATGTGATGGGGATGCCCCAAGCCTGCATAGGGGACCCATGCACCTTCTTGGGCAGTGAGCTCTTAACCTTCACCCAGGTGGTCTGGGATGGGAGGAACAGCTATGTGGAGAGGGAAGGCATCTCCCCTGCAGAAGGGAGTGAGGATCTCTGGTTTGGATCCAGCCGAATTGTTTACTGACTGTCTAGCTTTGAGCAAGTAAACTCATTCTATGGTCTATGAAATGGGTATAACGATACTTCATACTCCACAAGTGGAGACGCTGTGAGGACTGACTTGGCTAAAGAATGTAAAAGGGTGGAGGGACAGAGTGCAGCAGGGCCTGGTGGCCTCAGGCCCTGCTTTGTGTCCTTGCAGGCGGCCAACATGTCTGGGACGTTTGGAGGAGCCAACATGCCCAACCTATACCCTGGGGCCCCTGGAGCTGGCTATCCACCAGTGCCTCCTGGGGGCTTTGGGCAACCCCCTCCTGCCCAGCAGCCTGTTCCTCCCTATGGGATGTATCCACCCCCAGGAGGAAACCCACCCTCCGGGATGCCCTCATATCCACCATACCCAGGGGCCCCTGTGCCGGGCCAGCCCATGCCACCCCCTGGACAGCAGCCCCCAGGGGCCTACCCTGGGCAGCCACCAGCAACCTACCCCGGTCAGCCTCCAATGCCACTTCCTGGGCAGCAGCAGCAGCAGCCAGTGCCAAGCTACCCAGGATACTCAGGGTCTGGGACCGTCACCCCTGCTGTGCCCCCAACCCAGGTAAGTGTCAGCCTACTGCCTCCCTCCGTCCAGGCCTGGGCCCCAAAGGCTGGAGACACATAGCCCAGTAGATGGGGAGACAGGGAAAGGCACAGGCCTCCAGCTGCAACCTCTTTTTTAGTGTCGGCTGGGTGCAGTGGCTCATGCCTGTTGTCCCAACACTTTGGGAAGCTGAGGTGGGCAGACTGCTTGAGCCCAGGAGTTCAAGACCAACCTGGGTAACATGGTGAAAGCCCATCTCTACTAAAAATAGGAAAAAATTAGCTGGGCATGGTGGTGTGTGCCTCAGGAGGCTGAGGTGGGAGGATCACCTGAGCTCAGGAGACAGAGGTTGCAGTGAGCCGAGATCACGCCATTGCACTCCAGCCTAGGTAACAGAGCAAGACCCTGTCTTTAAAAAAAAAAAAAAACAGAAAACGGGCCAGGCACGGTGGCTCACGCCTGTAATCCCAGCATTTTGGGAGGCTGAGGTGGGTGGATCACGAGGTCAAGAGATGGAGATCATCCTGGCCAACATGGTGAAACCCCATCTCTACTAAAAATACAAAAATTTACAAAAATTAGCTGAGCGTGGTGGTGCATGCCTGTAGTCCCAGCTGCTCAGGAGGCTGAGGCAGGAGAATTGCTTGAATCCGGGAGGCGGAGGTTACAGTGAGCCGAGATCGCACCACTGCACTCCAGCCTGGTGCCTGGCGACCGAGTGAGATTTTGTCTCAAAAAAAAAATAAATAAATAACAGAAAAACAAAGAGCATCACCTTCTTGCAGACACCCCACCTTCCCACCTCTGGGTTGTGTTGCTTAAGACCCGAGGGAGCTGCCCCGTTTCTCCCAGTGTGATGAGAGGCTGCACATGGGAGTTGGGTCAGAACGCCCCATCGAGTGTTCCTCATTCCTCTGTCATTTACTGTCTGGGCTGTGTGTTTTGTAAGAACTGCCTGGGCCACCCGTCTCAAGGCTTTGTGCCCAACAACTCTCTTGGTCCCCTTGATATTCGCCCCTACAGACAGGTTTTGGAGGATTCTTAAAATTGCCTTTGGGTAGGGAAAATGTTGGCAGTTTCTCCAGGGTTGATCTTGGCTCATTTTGGAGAACGGTTCATGGTTGCAGAACCTAGAATTCATTGTCATGGTTATATGGCCCAACCAGCCAGCTCAGGGGTTGGTTATGTGCTTGATGACTATTTTTAGACAGAGAGTCTCCTTTCCTCCTTCCCTTCCACACCTACATGTTCCCCCACCCTGTGCCATCCTCCAGACTCCCTCCATTATCTTTTCCCTGGGCTGTTCCCATAATTGTGTTATAACCAGTTTGTACCAGCCCCTAGGAAGACAGTCCACTGGGAGACAGTTTAGCCTGGAAAGTTCAAGTTCAAGTTTGCTGGGTTGTGCAGCTGCCAGGGTCTGGAGGTGGTAGTCTAGAGCACAGTGCCAGGGAACCAGTGCTAGATCAAGAGGTGGTCGGGGTGCCATGCACAGTTGTGGAGGCTGGACACTACATCCACCAGAGGGGAAATGTGGGCTAGCCAGCCCTGTTAGGAGTACTCACGTGTGCTCACCTGTGCTGTGGAGGCCAGGCATTGATGAGAGAGGCTGCAGCCCCTGCTCCTGAGGCCTGCCCTTCCTCAGAAGTCTGATCCCCAAGCCCTGGAGGACCTGGGCACTGGGGCAGATTTTCAGCGTCAGGACTCAGCTGTAGGTGGGCTCCCAGCCGCTGGAGCCAGGAAGAAGCTCCAGTACCAGAACACGAGGCCAAATAACAGTCAAGTTAGGCAGACTCGGCATAGAGTCTTCTGTGTTGTTGGCTGTGGGCACCTTCGGATATCCCAACTCTTAGAGACAGGGCTATTCCCAGAGTCTGGGGGCGGAACAGTCTCGCATCTGGGGAAGGCGGCGTGCTTGTCATCTTACCTGTGACTGTTTGTCTGATTAGTTTGGAAACAGAGGCACCATCACCGATGCTCCCAGCTTTGATCCCCTGCGAGATGCTGAGGTGCTGCGGAAGGCCATGAAAGGCTTCGGTGAGAGACCCTGGGTGGCTCAAATCCTGCCCTGCTGCCCATTCCCCAGGCAGTTTCACAGTGGCTCTGTGGGCTGGGATAGCCAGGGGATGCAGACCTGGCCTCAGTGGTAATAAAAGAGAAGGTGGATATGGGGGTGCAGCTGGGATGCCCAGAAGAGTTGGGGGACACAGGCCAGGGAAGGCTCAGCTGCAGAACATCCTCACGACCCCCACCCCAGCCACCCCCGTCGCCTCTTCCTCCAGGCACGGATGAGCAGGCCATCATCGACTGCCTGGGGAGTCGCTCCAACAAGCAGCGGCAGCAGATCATCCTGTCCTTCAAGACGGCTTATGGCAAGGTGAGCTGCGGCGTGGGGGCAGGGGACAGTGAGGCGTGTCCTCAGCTCAGCAGAGTCCTGCTCACCCCTGCTTTTCCTTGGGTGGGCCCAAGTCTCCCAGATGGACAGTAAAGAGCAGGAGGGCATTTCCTTCTGCCCACCCAGCTGGTGGCAGCATTGGAGGTAAAGGATGCCCTGAGGGAGAAACGAGTCCACAGGGTACGGAAGTTTGCTGAGAGGCTCCAGATGTCTAGCCCTGGGGTCTAGCCCTGGCTCAGCCACAACTCACTGAGGTTGTGGCCACATCATTTTCCCTCTGTACCCTCTTCATGATCACCCTGGGAGATTTAGCTGTTACAAGAGCTTTGCAGGAAAAGGCTGTGAGTGCTGCCCAAGTACAGAGAGTGTGTATGAGTGTATTTTGAGCTTCTGGGATTTTGAATCTTAGAAAGGTAAAAATTGGGTGAATATTGATTAGATTTGTGTCCTAGCCCAGTGCCTCTCATACTTCAATGTGCCATGGATCCCCTGGGCATCTTGGTAAAAAGTGGTCTCCGATTTGGGAGGTCTGGGGCCCCTGGGGGATGTCCATGCTGCTGGTCCTCGGATCTGGGATATGGCTCTTATTAGTCACCTCCTGTGGATTTTAAAAATAGACTTGTTTTTGGTTATTTTTTTAATTTGAATATCCAATCAGGATTTGATCAAAGATCTGAAATCTGAACTGTCAGGAAACTTTGAGAAGACAATCTTGGCTCTGATGAAGACCCCAGTCCTCTTTGACGTTTATGAGATAAAGGAAGCCATCAAGGTGTGTACGTGTGTGTGTGTGTGTGTGTGTGTGTGTGTGTGTGTGTGTGTGTTCATGTGTTTGGACACAGCCCAGAAGGAGGCCTGGACAGTGTGCTGTGTTCTAGCCCACTCATTAGCTGCTGTTGTCAGTATGACTACCAGGCCTTCCTGGGTTGGAGTCTGCATACTGTAGAAAGGGGGAACTCCCTTTGATTTCCCCAAGAGGCAAATGATGCACCCGTCATCATCAGGGAGCCTTAGGTCTCTCTCCATCTTAAATAAATGGTGGAGCTGGGGTTTGAAGTTAGTGGCTCTGATAAGAAGAGGGTTAGGAGGCCATGGCTGGTATCGTTCTCGTCTTTAGGACTCTGCTACTAGTAAATGACAGAAACACGCTTCGGTTTAAGCAGAACGAAGGCGGGAAATCAGTTACGTGGGTAAAGCCAAGCTGCCTGGCGTGGAGAGGGCCAGGCCAGATGTCTCTCTGGTCTCTGCTTCCCCTGAGCATCCGCTCTTCTGTCCGATTCTGTGCTTCTCCTGCCATGGCTGCTTCTAGAGGGTGCTTGTCAACCACTCTCCACATACCTATGAGATCCAGCTCAAGAACAGGGGCTGGTTCAGATGGGCATGGCTTGGGCTCACTGTTTCCTTAAGGCCTGTGCGTTTTGGCCGAGGGGGTGGGTCCTGTCCATTCTGTGCAGTCCCACAGCTCTGTGTGCACCCTATGGGTGGGGCCTGATGGCTCCCTTGGAAAGGTAATCCCATGAGTCAGGCAGGAACCCAGGAGGAGCCTGTCACTCAGAGGCCTGATAAGCACAGTGACCGTTCCCTCCCCAGGAGAAGCAGAGACTTACGTGTGGTGGCCTGGAAAGGAGAGAGGTTTCCACTGAAACACGTCTACACGTGTTATTCTAGGGAGGGGGTCAGGGGGTGACTGGGCAGAGGGATGGCCTGGGGCCCCAGGGAGTGGCTCCCAGGCATCTGCCTGGCCCCCGTCTTCAGCCAGAGTCATGAGCTAGTGATTGTGGAGTGTTAGAAACCACAGGTTTGGGCAGCTGTCACTCACTAGCTGTGTGTCCTTGAGCACTTGTGAAATGGGGACAGTGGATGCTGTCTCAGGACATGCTGGGACGACTGGGTGAGGGGCTAACATGTACTAACATGTAGTAACCCAACAGTAGCTACAGCGGGAAATGGCTGCCAAAATGCCGCACGTCCTGCCTGACAGGCCCTAAGTGCTCTATATACAGTAACTCACTTCATCCTCATGACTTCCCTGTGAGGTAGGTCCCAGTATCACTCCCATCTTACAGACAAGGAATTGAAAGCACAGAGAGGTTAAGTAACATGGCTGAGGTCACACAGTTAGTAAGCCGCAGGGCCAGGATTCAAACTAACATACAAGCCGGGCTGCTCAGCCTGTCCTCTGCCTTCTCACTGTCCCTGGCATGGTTGTCCCATTCATCCTCGTTGTCCCTGCTTTTTCCTAGTTGTTTCCAGACATTCCGCCACATGGATTTTCCATGTGTGTACTTGGATCTCTCTTACTTTTTACCCATTTTTTTCAGTTGTCATCTGACTTCCAGCTGCACCCTGAATAAAGCAGGCCTCGGTCCACATTGTAACCTACCCATTTACTGTGTGGCCTTGGACCAGGCAGTACCCCTCTCTAATACTCAGTTTTCTGATCCACGTGGATGCCCCTTTGTGTGAGCCCTGCTTATCACCACCAACTGTCACTGTGCTTGCCTGGGCTGTGGAGAGGAGCTGATTCCCTCAAGCCTGGGAGTGGCTGGAGGGTGTGTCTCTGTGTCAGGGGCCTCTGTTGCTGGGGTTTGTCCCTGGGGTCAGGGCAGCAGTGTGGCCCCCACTCTCCTTCCCGGGTGCTGGTGAGGCTGCTGGAACAAGCGCACGGTTGGTTGTGTTCTCTGCCCCTGCAGGGGGTTGGCACTGATGAAGCCTGCCTGATTGAGATCCTCGCTTCCCGCAGCAACGAGCACATCCGGGAATTAAACAGAGCCTACAAAGCAGGTGAGGCTGCTCCCTCTGCCCTCTGCCCTCTGCAGATCCCTGTGCCCTCGGGGCTGTGGCCTCACCCTCTCCCAGGGCCTCTTACTCCTTCCTGGTTGTCTTATCACCCCATCTCCTGCCACCCCCTACACATTGGGCTTTGAGCCAAGACCCAGCCCTTCCCGCTGTTTGTACATGGCACAGATGACTAAAGTAAGGGAGGGCCGGGGAAAACCTGGATGTGGTTTGGGCCCAGGCTCCCTAGAGGCCAGATCAGCCTGGAGGTCACAGGCTTGTATGTCCCTGGAGGGCCATACGGGCTATTTGTTCCCTCAAGCCCAAGACCTCAGCCTTTTTCTCCCAAGTGCCCACTATTGATAGTGTTTACAATGGGCAGCTCCATAAACAGAGCTACAGAGTGGACCTTCCTTGCTTCTCCCTTTCAGAATTCAAAAAGACACTGGAAGAGGCCATTCGAAGTGACACGTCAGGGCACTTCCAGCGGCTCCTCATCTCTCTCTCTCAGGTACTTTTCCCATGACAGGGCCCCCAAGCTGTGGAGGTCAAAGAGGTGGGATTCCAGCATGAGGGGAGAGAAAAGAAATGGGGAAGGAGTAGGCTTGACCATACCCCTGCTTCCTTTCAGGGAAACCGTGATGAAAGCACAAATGTGGACATGACCCTGGTCCAGAGAGATGCCCAGGTGAGTGTAGTGGCCAAGCTCCTGGGCTTCCTAAAGCAGGGCTGTACCCTGCTTTCTTGCTTCCTGAGAGAGGTGGTTTAGGGTGGAAAGAACAGTAGATACGCTGCAAGTTTCAGACGGGCTGGGCTACTGCTCACCTGTGTGATCTTGAGCAGATCGTCTGACCTCCTGGGCTTCAGTTTCTCCGCCTGTAGTGGGGAACACGTGGGAGAGTAAGTTTCAGTAGTTGATGGATGACAGTTTTGGATGTGGGATTTCACGTGACTGCATACTTTCCCCATGTTTAGTTGCGCATACCATTACGTTTGCAAAGGGGCAGAATTTGCACTTGCCTGTTAAGTTTTTGAGGGTTTGAGCCTAGAAACCAGCTGCCACATTAGTTGAGCAGCCTTAGAATTCTGTCCTTGTCCCCCTTGTGAGTTGCAGACAAAAGGGAAACATCCAGGCATTTGAGCTACTCTCTAGAAAAGTTTGGGTTTCCCAGTAATGAATTTGGATCGTAGTATCATGGCAGGGCAGAGCCGTGACTTCCTGGCACAGTGGAGTTGACCATACCTGGCCCCCTTCACTGTTCTTACCACCATGGCAGGACACTCACCAGGAGCTGCCAGCAGTCTGATTATCTCTACCATCTGCTGGATTGGAACGAGACCTCAAGGAATGCTACCTTGTTAGGGCTGGTGGAGAGCTACTCCTCTAGTCTGGTCCATTTGCTTTCCAGATGAGGAAACTGAGGCTCAAAAAGGTTGAGCACTGTTCCCAACTGAAAGCTAGAGGCAGAGCTCAGGCATCCCTGGCTCAGTCCTCTGTGCCCAGTTAGCACCTGCTTCTGCCCTGGTCTCAGACCTGCTGCTTTTGCAGGGTCTACCGTATTCAGTGTCTCTCTGGCTGGTGACATCCATTCTCTTTCTGGGACTCAGGGCTAGACACCCCTGGGGCTCTGGCTCTTGCTCCAGCGAGAGTTTTGCATGCCATTTCTAGTGGGGTGAAAATTGTCTCGGGCTCTGCTTTCTCAGTCCAGACCTGCTATGGCCTCATCTTGACCTGTGGGATCTCAGCCCCTGATTGCTGCTTTCTGCTCTTTTTCAGGGCTGCTACCTGAGGCCTAGCAGGCACTTTAGAGGCTGTCTAGTTCAGAGGTTGCAGATTGGCAAATACTTTAGGCTCAAACCTTCAGAAGTTTACCAGGCTCTCCTGGGTGACCTGGACCTGGGGTCTGGGTGTGGCCTGTGCCGCCTGTGAATCTTCTTCTCTCTCCAGGAGCTGTATGCGGCTGGGGAGAACCGCCTGGGAACAGATGAGTCCAAGTTCAATGCAGTTCTGTGCTCCCGGAGCCGGGCCCACCTGGTGGCAGGTAAGGCAGGCCGGGTCCCTGTGGGGCCACTTAGGTGAGGGCAGTCAGGGGATTGTGAGGAGACAAAGCTGTGGGAACACTTGGTGGTTCCTCCCTGCGTAGGGCTTTTGCCTCCTCAGAAGAGCCCCCTGGTGGGGATTTAAAAGACAGAGGATTTCCTGAGTTCTGGTAAGCATCCAGTTCTGGAGGTTCCACTTGGCGTGGAAACCTGGTGTCTTCGTACGTACGCAGGAATGTGGAATGTTAGAGCTGGGAGAGTCCTTTGGGAGCACCGATCCAGTGTTTTCAAAGCCTGGCATGAGAAACAGTCATGGCAGTAATACTGGGTGCCATTCGTTTACTCATTCATTCAACAAATGTAAATCATGCTCCCCCATGGGCCAGTCCGTCAGGTCACGCAGTGGAGCAGGTGTGGAGACACAATGAGGGGCAGGGCACTGCAGAGTCTCTGTTCCATGGGCTGCACCTTCTCATTTGGGGAGACAGATAGTAAACAATGAAATAAAATCTGTATCAGATGATAAATTCTGTAGAGGAAAATAAAGCTGGAAACCAGCAGGGAGTGATGGTAGGATCCACCGGGAGGTGCTTGCCTAGTCCTCACTGAGGTCATGACATTTGATTTAAAAACCTAAAGGAGATGCAGGTGCAGAGGCCTGCCCGGGGCTCCCAGCACGACTGAGAAAGTGAAGGGGGACTGTGTGGAGCTGTAGGGTGGAGCTGCAGGGAGGCTTCTGGGTTGCTGTGTGTGGAGGTCAGCAGAGGTCTGGGCTGGATGTGGAAGGTAAGGGAGCTGTGGGTAGTCAAAGGTTTCTGTGGCTCTGGAACTGCAGAGCTGATTTGAAGATATATTAATTGAGAAAGATACAGTTAGAGCAGAAATCACGACTTTAATATGCAAATGGAAGCTGAGACTCAGGCTGGGGAAGGAGAGTTTTGTGTCCCGGGTCACAGCTGGACTCAGGACCCAGGTCTCCATCATGCTGCCTGCCTCTTTAGGAGCCAGCTGTCCACTCCCGTGGGTGCTTAGCATGTCCTAGGTTGAGCTGGACTGGCAGGGGTGGGCAGCAAAGAGCCAGGCTGTCTGGGGCAGGCTGGGCCTCAGCTCACAGGCAGGTTGAGGAAGACACAGATGCATGAATAAGGCCAAGGCATGGCAGAGACTGGAGGTGTGGGGGATTTGAGAAGAGGGGACACTGCGTTGAGTGCATGGGAGTGAGCCCTGGAGGGGAATTAAGGTGTGATTTGGTTACACAGATTGGCAGTCCTGAGAAGGGGACCACAGGGAGGGACATCAGGCAGCACACATGACTTGTGACGAAGACTCTGGCTTCCTTGAGAGCTGGGCAGGCCTGGGGCCATGCAGGGTGCGGGAGCAGAGTGGGAGGCCGGGGGTCTTAGGGCAGAGGCCACCTCATGTGAGTCCTCTGTTAGCCTGCTCACGCTGCCATGACAAAATACCACAGACTGGGTGGCTTAAGCAACAGACATTCATTTTCTTACAGTTCTGAAGGCTGGATGTCCAAGAGCGGGGCACCAGTTTCTCCTGCTGCCTCTTCGTGGCTCTCACCGCACTCACATGGTCTTTCCTCTGCACACGCACATCCCTGGGGTCTCTGTGTGTCTCCTAACTTCCTCCTCTCCTAAGGAGACTAGGCGGATTGGATCAGGGCACACCCTAGCAGCATGTTTTAACTTAATTACCTCTTTAAAGATCTTATCTCTAAATACGGTTATATTCTGAGGTCCTGGGAGTTGGGACTTCCACATATGAACTTTGGGGAGACACAGTTCATAATATAAGCTTCTATATGTCCTCCCCCTAGTTTTCAATGAGTACCAGAGAATGACAGGCCGGGACATTGAGAAGAGCATCTGCCGGGAGATGTCTGGGGACCTGGAGCAGGGCATGCTGGCCGTGGGTAAGTGTCTTGGGCTTGCCTGCCCACCTGCCAGGGACTAACGTGTATCATGAGTGTTCATGGTGCTCACCTGTCCTCTAGCTGAGGGGTGACATCGTGAAAGGACCACAGGAGCCAAGATTCTCAACCCAGAGTGTCCAGATGCTGGGAAGTCATGCCGCTTCCCTATGCAGTGGAACCCCTGGCTGTCCTGGAGGTGTCTTGTTTGTGTTTGTGGTACAGCCCTAGAGAAGGGAACTGCAATGTGGGTATTAGTGGGAGGGCATCCAGCTGCACTCCCGGAGGAGCATGACTCATATCCTGCCAAGTTTCCTCTAAAAATACATCCCTGCAGGCAGTTGTCAGATGTTTGTGATGGAAACATGTGGAAAGATTTTTACTTGCAACAGCGAAAAAGGCCCATGCTGAGGAAAGCTGGCTTGGCTCAGGGGCGGTGGTGTGCCTCTTCCACAGCCTGTGTCCTCCAGCAGGGCCTGGTGGGCTCCAGGTCCCTCCCTGCTGTGCAGAGTCGGGTCCCCGCCCTGGGGCCCTCACAACTCCTCTTTCTACTAACTTGGGAAAGTCAGTCTGCCCCTTTTTTCATTATGCTTTTTTTGAAGCTTTCTGGATGGGAGAGATGGAAAATCCTCGTTTCCCTGCCTGCCCCCACAGTAGGTCTCGTGGCCTGGGCAGCCTAGGGAGATGCTCATTCCACTCAGCACAGTTTCTCCATGAAGGTCACAGCCTCTCCAGTCTGCCCCTCCTGCCTGAGCAGCAACACAGTTCCTCATCACCATCCACATCGCTTCCCCGCACAGCTGCTAGCCTCACGAAGACCCCCTCCCCTCTGGCTCTTCCTTTTTTCACCACAGTGGTTGCCAGGAAAGAGGGTGGGTTTGTATCCTGTTTCTGCATGTTACTGTTCCAAAGAACTGGAGCCAAGAGCCTCGGATAGTTGAGCCTGGAACAGGATAAGGAGGAGAAAAGATGGATGCGGTGATGGGTTTGACATCTGGGCCTCTAAGAGGACACTTGTAGACTCCAAGCCTGGCTTGGGCTGAGAATTTTCTGCAGATCTGGTTATGCCAAGTTTCTCTCTTCTAGTGAAATGTCTCAAGAATACCCCAGCCTTCTTTGCGGAGAGGCTCAACAAGGCCATGAGGGTATGTAACTTGCATGTGCAGGTCGGGATGCCTTAGCCTTGCCTTTGCCAAGGGCTGAGGGTGGAAGGCCTGGGGAGAGCTAAATCTCAGCCGAGAGTTCTGAGGACCTGGGTTGGGAGGGGACTGACTGGAGGGCCCAGGGCGGGTGGGAAGTGAGGAAACCTAATGCTCATGCTCTTGGGTGGACTCTCTTTAGGGGGCAGGAACAAAGGACCGGACCCTGATTCGCATCATGGTGTCTCGCAGCGAGACCGACCTCCTGGACATCAGATCGGAGTATAAGCGGATGTACGGCAAGTCGCTGTACCACGACATCTCGGTACGGGCCTGCTACAGCCAGACTGGGCTTCCTTTTGGCATCCCAGTCACCTGTGGACCCTTCCTCCTTGGAGTGGCCATATGCTTGGCCCCTGTGCTGTGTATGAGCATCTTGTTTGTGGACCTCGGACTTGCCCGTTGCCCCTAAGCAGGTTATAAGCTTCTGAGGGCAGGTGGGTCATGACCTTGCTGTCACCCCGACCTTGCATCCCCCAGCAGCATCAGAGAACACTCAGGACCTCCCCAACCTTGACCCTGACCTTCAGCGTCCCGGCCACCCTGTGATTCCATAATCTGTCAGTGAGAACTCATGTGCTGACCTGACAAAGCACTTCTTGCACTCAGGTTTATGGCGTAGGACACGTGGGAAGGCCATTCAGAGTGAGGGCCCTGGGGATCACGCCATTTGGAGTCCGGCTTTTCTACTTGCCAACTGTGTGACCTTGAACAGTTTCCTTAAACCTCCATGCACCCCAGCTCCATTGTCTTTAAAATGAGAAAATAATCCTTCCCAAGAATGTTGTGAGTATTGAGTGAGGCAGTACAGGTCAAGTGTCTGTTTAATACTAGCCACTGTGTATCACCATGCGGCAGAGCAGGTCTGACAAAATATATATTCAGCTGTGTGATCTAATACTCAAATTCTGAACTCACATAAGCCTTGAAATTGCACTGTGGGACCACATCCCCACCTTAGACTCAGTAGCATTTGATGATGGTGGGCATGTCATCATGAGAAGCTCACTTCCTTTCCCTGGCTGTATGAATGAAGCTGTTGCTAGAGAATTAGTAATTCTAGGCCGGGCACTGTGGCTCATACCTGTAATCCCAGCACTTTGGGAGGCCGAGGTGGGTGGATCACTTGAGGTCATGAGTTCGAGACCAGCTTGGCCAGCATGGTGAAACACTGTCTCTACTAAAAATACAAAATTAGCCAGGCATGGTGGAGCATGCCTGTAATTCCAGCTACTCGGGAGGCTGAGGCAGGAGAATTGCTGGAACCTGGGAGGCGGAGGTTTAGTGAGCCTGGATTACGCCATTGCACTCCAGCCTGGGTGACAGAGTGAGACTTTATCTCAAAAAAAAAAAAAAAAAAAAAAAAAAGGGAATTAGTAATTCTTTACAGAGTATCTCCTGTATGCCAGCGGGCTGTGGACATCTGGAAGAAACCACATGCCTTGCCCTCAAATTGCTTAGGGTGGAAGGAAATGATTAGAAATGAGCCAAGGCGAGCCTGCACTCTTAGAGTAAGTGCAGTGGCCTCAGACAGAGGAGAGATCCGTGGGACCTGGGAGGCCTGCATCCTCCACTGGACAGTCACATGTGAGGAGGTTGCGTTTCCTGAGCAGAAGACTGTGTTGCATTAAACTGGTAACCTCAATTTAAGGCAGCATAAATGCACCGGGAAAAGCAGTATTGGTTAGCCCTGGGAAGTGGTTTTTAGGACGATCATAATTTTTTTTGTGGGTATTCATTTGACTTGGATAGTTGGGGTGAGTGCAGCTTTCCATCTTCTGATGGGGACCTGGGGAAGGTGAAACTGCATTATCTAAGATCTGTTGCGCCTGCTCCAGGACCTGCAGCGGGGGAAAATTTCCCAGGATGGGGCTTCCTCCCTATAAGGGCACTCAGGGCAGAAAATCAGGAGCCAGAGGCTACAAGCAACCATGCCTCCCTTAACGAATGTCTTCCTTGTTTCTGTGGCCAGGGAGATACTTCAGGGGATTACCGGAAGATTCTGCTGAAGATCTGTGGTGGCAATGACTGAAGAGTGACTGGTGGCTCACTTCTACCTACGTGTCGGCAACAGCGGTGTCAGGAAAAGGCCAAAAGAATGTCTGTTTCTAACAAATCCACAAATAGCCCCGAGATGCACCGTCCTAGAGCCCAGGCCTGTCCTCAATCCCCCTCACCCATATATTGTGCCACAGGACCTGGGTCAGTCTAGAACTCTCTCAGGATGCCTTTTCTATCCCATCCCTCACAGCCTCTTGCTGCTAAAGTAGATGTTTCATTTTTCTGACTCATGCAATCATTCCCCTTTGCTGTGGCTAAGACTTGGCTTCATTTCGTCATGTAATTGTATATTTTTATTTGGAGGCATATTTTCTTTTCTTACAATCATTGCCAGACAGACACATACAAACACAAATGTGTTTGCTGTGTACACATTGCTGGTGAGGGCGACTGGGTGGTGAAGCACCATATCCTCGCTGAGCAACGAAAGGGAGGTGTGCCTGTGTGTCTGGTGAGTGTGTCACGAGCTTTGTTATTGCCAAACTCACTCCTTTTTAGAAAAAAAAAAAGGGGGGCCAGAAAGTCATTCTTTCCATCTTCCATGCAGAAACCATGAGAACAAAGCCAGTTCCCTATCAGTGACAGGGCTGCTTGTAATTTGTGGAATGTGCCTTAAACCTGAATGTCTGTAGCCAAAACTTGTTTCCACATTAAAAGTCAGCCAGCTCTGGAATGTTCTGGAAATGTCTTCCTGGTACCAGCTTGTTTTCTTCTGCTTGATTCTGCCTTGTGGCTCAGAGTTCTGGCCTTATCAGCCAGTGAAAATTCACATAAGCTTAGGTAGAAATTTGTGCACAGGAAACCGTGAGCTTACGCTGGTGTTTGGGGACTGGGCTGTAAGGACATGGGAAGGGAGGCTCCCGAAATCCAGGCAGGGGACCCAGACACCAGAAAGGCAAAGGGATCTTGGTTGGGTGCAGGTGCAGTGAAGTGCACTGAAGGTGTGGTGGGAAGAATGTAGTTCTTCACCCGGGTCCCAGGTGGGAAGAAGGGTATATGCTAATTCCTGATGCCCCTTGGTGGGGGGCAGAGAGAAGGATGGGAACAACCCAGACAGTCACAAGACCAGTGTCTCACATCAGCGTGCTTCTAGGCTGAAAGGGGCTCCTGGCCCTGGTCTCTGGGAACCCTGTGCCCCTTGGTTGGTGGTGTGAAGAGAGAGAATCCGTAAGAGTTTCTAAGAATTATGGTGTCATGTCCAGAAGCTAGAGCTTGCCCTGCCTCAGGGGTCTCCACTCCCTTTCCAACCTCCTGTGTTGAAGTTTAGAAAAGAGAGGACTAGCTAGACATGGCTCATGCCTATAATCCAAGTACTTTGGGAAGCCAAGGCAAAAGGATCGCTTGAGCACAGGAGTTCAAGACTAGCCTGGCCAACATAGTGAGACCCCTGTCTCTACTAAAAAACTTTGGCCAGGTGTGGTGGCTCATGCCTGTAATCCCAGAACTTTGGTAGGCGAGACAGGCAGATCACCTGACGTCAGGAGTTCGAGACCCTGCCTGGCCAATATGGTGAAACCCTGTCTCTACTAAAAATACAAAAACTAGCTAGGCATGGTGGCACATCCCTGTAATCCCAGCTACTCAGGAGGCTGTAGCAAGAGAATTGCTTGAACCCAGAAGGCAGAGGTTGCAGTGAGCTGAGATCATGCCACTGCACTTCAGCCTGGGCAATAGAATGAGACTCCATCTAAAAGAAAAAGAAAAAAAATTACTTGGGCATGGAGGTGCATTCCCTGTAGTCAGCTACTGAAGGCTGAGGCAGGAAGATTGCTAGAGCCCAAGAAATCGAGGCAGTAGTGACCTATGATTATACCACTGCACTCCAGCCTGGACAACAGAACGAGACCCTGTCTCAAATGAGAAAAAAAGAAATGGAAGAATCCAGAGAGACTAGGCTAGATCAAGCCTGCTAAGTCCTAGGAACCCCACAGAGTGGCTCATCTGCAGACATTTGCTTGAGGACTGCCCCCTAAACATACAGGAAGAATGACACCCAAAGGGTAGGGGGCAGCCATGAGCTGAGAACTAGCCTGGTCTACCTAGACCTGCCCTCCCAAGTCAAAGGCTGGTGTGGGCACTGAGTTTGATACCAGGTCCTGGTCAACATGGCTCTGCATCAGAGTCCATGCCTCAAGCCCAACCTGTAACCCCATCCCTGCTGGTCTCCCAGCAACTCCTCTGCTAGGGCAGGCCCCTTGCCCTTGGGTGCCAGGTGGGACCTGCCTGATGGGATGGGCTGCTTGGCATTACACAACTTGCCATGAACTCAAGGTGGCGCTCATGGCCTCCTGAGCTGTGACAGGGCCTAGAACCAATGTGCTCTGATGTGACTATGTTCTGTGACATTGCCTTGCCCTGTTTACACTGAAGTTCCCACCCTCGTGTCTAGCAGGCAATATCGCACCTACAGATACATTTACTTTGGTTCCCAAAGAGTGTTTTTAGACATTTGAATATGTTGCCAACATTTAATCATTGAGAGATTTATATTTTTAAAAATCTGGAATTCTGGCTTCTCTTGAAAACTCAAATTCTGGCACCATGGGGATTACATTCCTGCATGGCTGGAGCTGAGTTGCAGCTGCCCCTTTGGGCCTGTACTCCTTATTTGCCATAGGCTCCACCATTTCCTCTTGTATTACAGCAAGCCAGTGTTACCACTCTGGCCCCTGCAGGCCCTTGGGTGTGAGACCCTGGTCTACACACTTGGGGACCACCTATTGTCAGGTACATGGATGTGCTTTGGACAAGAAATAGACCGAGGCGGACATCCAGGCCAGAGTGACTCGGTGAGTTTAGGTCGCAGGTGCATACTCTACTTGTTATATAACCTGTTTGTATAAGTTCATTATTTGGCTCGAAGCCACTATCGTTTGGAAAAGGTATAACTGCCCTGCTGACGCTATACAGATGTTCTTGGGCCCGGATTGGCATGGCTTCACATGGTGTGCACTGGCACCCAGAGAGAGAGAGTGAAGCTACCAACCCCTGTAAGGGAGAGTGACCATCTGGCAGACGGACAGAGAGGAGCCAGGACACAGCTCGGCTTGTGCCCAGAGGGAAAGAGTTAAGCTGCTGACCCTGTAGCTGGCCTTGCAGGCCAGGGAGTGCAGCTGCAAGCATGCAAGCATGGGGGCGGCAGGAGCTGCAGAGCTGGAGCAGACAGCCGAGATAAAGGCAGACAGTGTGAGAGAGCTGCTGATGAGACAGCTGCTGAATAAAGCTACATTTTACCTGCCTACAGCCTGCCAAATGTTCCTTCAGCTAGCACCCATCCACCCACTCCCCTCGAACCTCAGGATGGGCTGGAACCTGACCCTGGGCATGACAATTGGCCTAGTCATGGACCTAACACCTTTGTTTGTCCCAGTCCTGGTTCTCCTTGTTTTCCTGTACCTCTGGTTGCCCTCATGGTCACTCCCAAGGGACCCAACCCATGTTAAGTATGGGCTGGAGGACTGCATGAATGCCTTATGATCTTCCCAGAGGCAAAGGCATCTACTGCCTTCCAAGGTCAGTGGGGCGTTGGGATCAACACTGTTTGTTATGCTTAGGACAAAAGAGATAGACATGCAACCTTACAGGCCATCTTTCTGGGACAGAACACAATGGGTCTTTTCCTGCCTCCTGAATATGTTAGTCAAGGCCAGTCCATGCTACATATCTAATCTGACTTCTAAAATAGCAAGTAGAGGACGAAGCACCAGATGAATTCAGCCCTGGGAGAATTTGCAGGAAGAAACACTATTAGTTAAGCTTTGCACCTGAGACAAATGGCCCCACTCGCTTTACCCTAGTCCTGGTGGCATTTGTCTCAGGTGCAAAATTTAAGAAGGGAACCTTGGAGTGCTCACTCCGTGGTTGGGGAGATGGTCCTGAAGTGGTGGTTTTCAAGCCTGAGTGTGCATCAGGATCATCAGGGGAGCTTGCTAAAGAGCAGGTCCTGGGGTCAGACCCTCACACATTCTAAGGGGGTGTGGGGGTTGGGAAACTGCATCTGTAACCTGCTGTAATCTAATGCTGGTCTAAATACTGCTGTGCTGACACAGAGAACTCCCCAAAAGGAGAGGTGTTTCTCTGCTTAGAATTCAGTCAGGTGATGAGAGATGAGATGAGGCACTCCTGGCTTTGGGAAGAGGTTGCCGAAAGATGAATCTCTGCAGTGCCCACAGACAAAGTGGTGGTTTAATGCCCTTCTTCTGTTGGCCTTGGCAGGGAATTACAGTCCTTGCTTAGGACCTGGCCCCTTATTTCTGCTGTAGGCTCTTTACTGCCCTGGCTGATAATGGAGTGGAATGAGACCTAGAAACAGATCAAAATAAATACATGTCCTCGGACAGATAAATGTTTACGTCTTTACCCCTATCAAGTCTGAAAACTCTCTGCCTGTGTTTTTCTAAAAGCCAGGGACATCATTACTCAGTCTCCAACCTGGCCTCATATAGGGTCCCCTCTTAGTAAAAGAGTCAGTCAAGCCCACCAGGTATACCAACGACTCTTACCCTTAGCCCCTACTCTTTGGAAAGCTGTCCCCTTGGCCTAATATTGGTGTTTAGCCTGAGCCTGACTCCTTTTCAACACTAAGAGTGGTTGAAGTCCTGAAGCAGAAAGAGCTGTGGCCTGAGTCAAGCATCCTTATTCTAATTTCAGCTCAGCCACTGATTTGTTGTGTGACCCTGGATAAGTCACTTTCCCTCTTTGGGTCTTTACGAAATGAGGGGTAGACTAAAAGAGAGCTTCTAAAACTTTAATGTGGCTAACAAAAATGGAGTAAGAAATTCCACAAGTCTGTCCTTCCACAAAAGCAGCTAATAAGGTGGCAAGAATTCAGAAACAAACTTATGGGAACTCTGGAAACTAATTGAAAGTTGACAGCAATCAACTTTTACACTTTTAAGTGTAAAAGCTGAATTTAGTAAGAGAGCTTTGTTGTGTTTTAGCTTTCCCTGGCCCCATCCCCCCCTCCCTAGCATGGCAGCAGCATCAAAAACAATATCCTTTATTCCCTGTATAGGTTCCTGTCACTGAAGGTAGCAGATTAGACCTTATTCTCAAGAGGTATGTTTATTTTGATTTGTCAGGTTGCTCCCTGAAGGACTGGTTCAAATACCTTGCTTTTATTTTGCCTAATTTGGAACTCTCCAAAGTGAAGATGGCAGCCTGGAGAGACATTTCAAGGTCAAAATATTAGTGGCTCATGCCTAGGGGAAGGAATAACATTTAGGGCAAACAGGAGACAAACTGAAAAGCTTCAGGAGGAAAGGCTAGGAAATAAGATTATTTGGGGGAGAATAAGGACTTCAAAGAGCTTCTGTATATTCCTGGGAATCTAGAAGGCCATACGCATGCCTGGAGGGCTGGGCATAGGCTTAAAAAGACCTGAGAGGGCCCTATGCTCTTACCTCTGCCTGACCTCCAGGCTCTGCAAGCAGGAAGTGAAGGCTAAGGCATAGTTACAAACTGCGTGAGTGAAGGTTGAAAGGTGTGCCCCAACACACAGAACACATCTGCAAATGCTAGGAGGCTTTTTATTGTTGTTCCAAGTGTTCAAAGAAATCTGTTGAATAAGCTAACCAAACAGAGACTTAGTAGCCACACCTGATGGAGAATGCAAACCAAAAAACTGGGCACGGTGGCTTACATCTATAATCCCAGCACTGGGAGGCTGAGGGAGGTGGATCACTTGAGTGCAGGATTTTGAGACCAGCCTGGACAACATGGTGAAACCCCATATCTACAAAAAATACTAAAAATTAGCGGGTAGCACACACCTATCATCCTGGCTACCCAGGAGGCTGAGGTGGGAGGATCAGCTGAGCCTGGGAAGTCCAGGCTGTAGTGAGCCATAATCCTGCCATTGCACTCCAGCCTAGGTGACCCAGTGGAGGAAAAATTTTATTTCCAAACTTGCCACGTTATACATAATATTCAAAATGTCCAGTTTTCAACAAAAATTATGAAGTATTCAAAGAAACAAAGTATGGCTCATACAAAGGGAAAAAAACCTGTAAATAGAAACTGAGGAAAGCTCAGAGATTGGACTTAACAGAGAAGACTTCAAGTCAATTATTTTCAAAAAGGTCAAAGGAGAAGGTAACCAGGAGAATGATATCTCACCAATATCAATAAAGAAGCTGGGATTATAAAAATGAACCAAATAGAAATTCTGGAATTGAGAAGTACAATAAATGAAAAATTCATTGGAAGAGTTCCAGAGCATTCCAAAAAAGGTAGCAGAAAAATATCAGTAAGCTTCAAGTTAGGTCAATTGAGATTACCCATTCTGAGGTGCAGAAAGGAAAAAAAAAGTTAACTGAGCCTAAGACACCTGCAGGACACCATCAAGTGTGCCAACACACACCTAATAAGAATCACAGGAGAGGAGTGAACATAGAAGAAATTTTTAAAGAAACAATGGCTGAAAACATAATGAAAGACATTAATCTACTCATACAAAAAGCTCAATGAATTATAAGTAGGGTAAACTCAAAGAGACATTCAATGTGACATTGAGACACATTATAATCATATTATCCAAAGACAAAGACAAAGCAAATCCTGAAAGCAGAAAGAGCCACTTGACATATACAGGAAATCTTCGATAAGATTAACAGCCAATTTCTCACCCAACATCATGGAAGTGAGGAGGCCATGAGAGGACATATTCAGTGTGCTGAAAGGAAAATCCTGGGTGGTCTTGATCCTCGTAGATGTTCATCTGTTTCTGGACATTGAAGAGTTAGGTATTTATCACAGTCTGCACAGTCTGTCCTTATTTGTATCTGTCCTTCTTGGGAAGGCTTTCCAGATATTTGAATGGCTTGGGTGTTGTGATCTAAGTTGTATCTGTTTAAGGGTTACCCCAAACCCAATAACACTTTGGTTTTTGTAGCCTCATAGAGGTATTGCCTTGATAGTCTTGGACAAGATTCAGAATTCTCTGGATTACCAGGGAGAAACTCTTGTTCTTTTCCCCCTACTGTCTCCCAAATAAATGGAGTCTCTCTCTCTCTGTTCTAAGCCACCTGAAGCTGGGGGTGAAAAGACACAAGCACCCCTGTGGCCACCACCACTAGGACTGCACTGGGTCAGACCTGAAAGCCAGCACAGCACTGGATCTCACCAAGGCCCTCTGTTACTACTCCCTGGCTACTGCCTATGTTCGCTTAAAGCCCTGGGACTCTACAGTCAGCTGGTGGCAGAGCCAGCCAGGACCTTCCTTCCTTTAGAACAGCAAGGTCCTCCAGGCCCCAGTGGGCCCAGAGGTGCCATCTGGGAGCCAGCAACTACAGTAAAAAGTCTTAGAAGTCTACCTTGTGTTCTGTTATACTGCAGCTGAGCTGGCACTGAATTCACAAGATGCAGTCCTTCACTCTCCTCCTTCCCCTTTCCCAAGGCAGAGGTGCCTCACTGCCACCACAGGACCACAGGGAGTACTGCCAGACTACTGCCGATGTTCCCGTAAGGCCCAAGGAGTCTTCAACAAGCTTGTGGTAAATGCTGCCTAGCATGGGACTCACCCTTCAGGGCAGTGGGCTCCCCTCGGGCCCAGGGTAGGTCCACAAATGCCATCCAAGAACCAAGTCCTAGAATTGGCAGTCCCAAAAATCCATTCAGTGCTTTACTCTCCTGTGGCTGAGCTGCTACCTAAGGTATAAAACAAAGCCCACTTTACTTTTCCCTCCACTTTTCTGAAGCAGGAGTCTTGCCCTGTAGCCACCACAGCTGGGAATGTGCTGGCTGAACCTGAACCTGAACCCAGCAAGACTCAGAGTCTCACCCAAGGCCCTCAACATAGTACCTGGGTATCTCTGCTGGTTATTCAGGAACCAAGGGTTCTAAAGGTAACTGGCAATGCATGCAGCCAGCAGCCAGGACTGAGTCCTTTCTTTCAAGGCAGTGGGTTTCCTTCCAGCCCAGGGTGTGTCTAGAAATGTCCAGGAGCTAGGATCTGGAAGAGGGGCCTCATGACTGACCAGAGCCCTATCCTGCTGTGTCTGAGCTGGTATCTAAGGTACAAGACAAAGTGCTCCCCACTCTTCTCTCCTCTCCCAGCCACTTGGGAGGCGAAGACATGAGAATCACTTGAACCCAGGAGACAGAAGTTGCAGTAAACCAAGATAATGGCACTGCACTCCAGCCTGGGCAACAGAACGAGTCTTTGTTCCCCCCACCCCCAAAAAGCTGTTTTGAGGAAACTCAAAGAAATTCATAACAGAGAAGGAATTCAGAATTTTATCAGATAAATTTAACAAAGAGATTGAAATAATGAAGAATCAAGCAGAGGCCGGGCGCGGTGGCTCACGCCTATAATCCCAGCACTTTGGGAGGCCGAGGCGGGTGAATCATGAGGTCAAGATATCGAGACCATCCTGGTCAACATGGTGAAACCCTGTCTCTACTAAAAATACAAAAATTAGCTGGGCATGGTGGCGCGCGCCTGTAGTCCCAGCTACTCGGGAGGCTGAGGCGGGAGAATTGCTTGAACCCAGGAGGCGGAGGTTGCAGTGAGCCAAGATCATGCCATTGCACTCCAGCCTGGGTAACAAAAGCGAAACTCCATCTCAAAAAAAAAAAAAAAAAAGAATCAAGCAGAAATTCTGGAGGTGAAAAATGCAAGTGACATCCTGAAGAATACATCAGAATCTTCTAATAACAGAATTGATCAAGCAGAAGAATTAGTGAGCTTGAAAACACACAGAGGAGACAAGAAATAATAAAAAAGAAGGAAGCGTGCCTACAAGAGATAGAAAATAGCCTGGAAAGAACAAATCTAAGAATGCTTGGCTTTAAAGAGGAGTTAGAGAAAGAGAGAGGGGTAGAAAATTTATTCAAAGACATAATAACAGAGAACTTCCCAAACCTGTAGAAAGACATCAGTATTCAAGTACAAGAAAGCTATAGAACACCAAGCAGATTAAACCCAAAACTATCTCAAAAGCATGTAATACTCAAACTCCCAAACGTCAAGGATAAAGAGAAGATCCTCAAAGCAGCAGGAGAAAAGAAACAACATACTATGAAGCTCTAATACATCCGGCAGCAGACTTTTTAATGGAACTCATACAGGCCAGCAGAGAGCAGCAGGATGTATTTAAAGTGCTGAAGGAGGCTGGGCGCAGTGACTTATGCCTGTTATCTCAGCATTTTAGGAGGCCGAGGTGGTCAGATCATCTGAGGTCAGGAGTTCGAGACCAGCCTGGCCAACAAAGTGAAACCCCATCTCTACTAAAAATACAAAATTTAGCCGAGCATGGTGGTGTGCTCCTGTAGTCCCAGCTACTTGGGAGGCTGAGTCAGGAGAATCACTTGAACCCAGGAGGTGGAAGTTGCAGTGAGATGAGATTGCGCCACTGCACTCCAGGCTGGGCAACAGAGTGAGACTCCATCTCCAAAAAAAAAAAAAGCATTAAAAAATAAAAAAAAAAATAGCCTATTATCCCAGCTACTGGAGAGGCTGAGGCAGGAGAACTGCTTGAATCCAGGAGGCAGAGGTTGCAGTAAGCCCAAGATTTTGCCATTGCACACCAGCCTGGGCAACAAGAGCAAGATTCCATCTCAATAAAAAATAATAATAAAAAAAAATAAAGTGCTGAAGGAAAAAAACCCAAAAAGCCTTTTTACCCTGGAATAGTATATCTGGCAAAAATATCCTTCAGACATGAAGGACAAATAAAGACTTTCCCAGACAAAAGCTGAGGGATTTCATCACCAACACCAGACCTGTCCTACAAGAAATGCTAAAGGGGGTCACGTGTGGTGACTCGCACCTGTAATCCTAGCACTTTGGGAGGCCAAGGTGGGCAGATCGCTTGAGCTCAGGAGTTTGAGAGCAGCCTGAGCAACATGGCAAATCCCCATGTCTATAAATAATAAATACAAAAATTAGTTGGGTGTGGTAGCATGCACCTGCAGTCCCACTTACTTGGGGGACTTAGGCAGTAGGATTGCTTGAACCCACGAGGTTCAGGCTGCAGTGAGCTGAGATCACACCACTGCACTCCAGTCTGAGAGACAAAGTGAGACCCTATCTGAAAAACAAAAACAAACAAAAAAAAAAA